TAGCACTCGGTGGTGTCCTGCGACAGGCCGCCGGTGCGGTCGCCCTTGTAGGCCTGCCGGCGAGGGCGGCGGCGACGGTGGCGGCGGAGACGTCGGCGGTCGCCAGGGCGGTGGCGGCGAGGGCGTCGGCGGAGACGGCGGCGGCGCCGAGGGAGGGGGCGGCGACGGTGGTGACAGCGGCGGCGGCACAGAGGGCGGTCGGGCCGACGGCGGCGGCGAGGGCGGTGGCGGAGAAGGCGGCGGCGGAGACGGTGGCGGCGGAGACGGTGGCGGTGGCGAGGGCTGCGGCGGCGAGGGCGTCGGCGGAGACGGCGGCGGCGGCGAGGGCGGGGGCGGCGACGGTGGTGACAGCGGCGGCGGCACAGAGGGCGGTGGGGCCGACGGCGGCGGCGAGGGCGGTGGCGGTGACGGCGGCGGCGGTGAAGGCGGCGGCGGAGAGGGTGATAGCGGTGACGGCGGTGGAGGAGCCGGTGGCGGCGGCGAGGGCGGCGGCGGCGACGGCGGCTCGGTGACGGCGGCGGCGGCGGAGAGGGCGGGGGCGGCGGCGGAGAGGGCGGGGGCGGCGAGGGTGGTGACAGCGGCGGCGGCGGCGAGGGCGGCGGAGAGGGTGGCGGCGGAGAGAGCAGCGGCGGGGGCGAGGGTGGTGGCGGCGACGGCGGCGGCGGCGAGGGCGGCGGCGGCGACGGTGGTGACAGCGGCGGCGGCACAGAGGGCGGTCGGGCCGACGGCGGCGGCGAGGGCGGTGGCGGCGAGCGCGGCGGCGGAGAGGGCGGCGGGGGCAAGGGTGGAGGCGGCGAGGGCGGCGGTGAGGGCGGCGGAGACGGTGGCGGCGGAGACGGTGGCGGCGTGGGCGGCGGCGACGGTGGCGGTGGAGACGGTGGCGGTGGCGAGGGCGGCGGCGGCGAGGGCGGCGGTGGAGACGGCGGCGGCGGCGACGGCGGCGGCGGGCTGGGCGGCGGCGACGTCGGCGGCGACGGCGGCGGTGACGGCGGTGAGGGCGAGGGTGGCGGTGACGGCGGCGGAATGGGCGGCGGCGGTGGCGGCGGCGGCGGAGAGGTGGTGGCG